CACTGGTGCAAGGAGAACAAAAATTAGTCAAGCTTGGGTTTCTGATCTACTATAGATTATCTGCACATAAACTAATGAACTTTTCCTGCAGCTGATGCACTTTTTAAAGATTTTATTGTAATGCAACAAGCTGAACAACTCAAGTTTACCTTCAGCTGAAATCTCTTGGTTGTAAAGTTACTAAGTGCACATGTGCTCAGGCTGTTCGTCTGCCACTGCAGAACTTGCACCAACAAATGGACCCAGCAGGAACCACCAGGACAATCTGGAAGTTTGATGGTGGATGAGTGCTGTGTCAGGATGAGGCAAATGTAGTTCTGCTGCAAAATGCATCAAGATGTTCAAGTAAAACCAGTGCTGTTCAGTTTTGTGTTAAAGTTAGACATTGTGCTAAAAATCTGGGCTTAATTGAACCTACGTTTATATCGAAAGATTGGAAACATTATGAAGTGAAACCACAGGTTAGGAGGAGGTTCACTTCTCTTTTCCACAGGGATGTGTCTGAACCACACCCTATAACTCAAACTCCCTGCGAGGCTCCAACACATTGAAGTAAACCACTTTCCACTCAGTTATCCAATATTCAATCAACTTCAGGTACGATTAAATGACAAAAAGGCTTTACTCAGAAAGAGTGAAAACCAAATCAGCTTTTCAGGAAAGAGTGATTTTAAAAAACGGGAACGAGAATAAATAAATTAAACTTGATTTTGTTATAACAAAGTGGCCCATTTCTATAGCACTGAACAGAATGTGACCCTGGATGCATCACATGCATAACTACAGCTCGTTTGACTCAAAATGCCAAAATAAACCCAGTTTTATAATTCAGATAACACAGAGCACATCCAGCAAATGCTCAGGACTGAGGGTCGCAACATTAAACGAGACAAAAACGGCAAAAGCACGAGATGTGGATGCTGTTGTAATGCAGTGAGCGTGTTCAAGGGCAATGCATTGCTGGCCTGCAGTAATGACCCACACACGCAGAGGGGGGGCCACCCAGTGGCCGACAGACAAACACTCAGAGTCCAGACCAGCCCCGTCACGCTGGGGGAGGAGGCAGCGTTGTTATCAAGCGAAGTGTGTGTGTGGGGGGGGGGTCCATTTAAGAAGGACAAAGAGGGCAAAATTGCTTCTTGCTAAAGCCACCCACTGCATACTAACCCAGTTCATACTGCGGCGCGAACTGCTGCACACAGCCGAGCGATGCGTGGCCTCCATGTCCTGTATTTTAGCCGCTGTCAGCAGCCTTTATTTAGAAAAGTCAAACGCAGACCCTCAACACGGAGAGACAGCCACTCTTATCTCTCATCCTCAGAGGCACGGAGGTTGCACAAACTGAATGTTGCATGAACAGAGAGGGGGAGAGAAAAAAAAAAAAAAAAAAAAAAAACGCCTGAACGCAGCAGATATCCATCACATATTATAAGACCAAGGATTTTAGGGTTTTAGTAAGAACATACCTACATGCGAAATTAAACTATTTCATAAGCAGTAGCTTTATCATCTATATGACAAAAGGCTGCACAGCTAGTTCCATTTTAAAATCAGTCTTTTTACTGTCAATGAAGAGAAAGCAGAACACTATGCTCATTGTGCAATAACTAGTGTTTGACATTTTGAAAACAATGGCAAGTCACTTTGCTCTTATTTGTACGTTCGCAGCTCCTATATTTTGACAACCCCCTTGTAAATTAACTGAGCAGGCCGAGCGCAGCTTCCAATCAAGCATCATCTTCTCATAAGCATCTAAAATAATTCAACGCATGCCTGTTAGGCCTAAAAACTAACAAGTTTAACATTTGAGACAACAAAAAGCCACAAAACAAAGTGTTCTTAAATATATTTAAAAATAAGACGATCATTCCATAACCCACTGTGTGTTTATTAGTATAGATGTTAAAACCTGCCTTAAGATCAGATTGGGAATGAGGCTCACTGTAATTAAAGGTCAAGATATATTCTAAACATGAACACAAACATTTACCCTAAACATTCTGCAAATTGTACTTTTAAATTAAAACACCAAAAATTGATAAAAACTTAAGACAGAGAAAACAAAAAAAAAACGTTTTAAGTTAAATATTTAAATAGGCAGCTAAAGTGAAGTGCCTAATTAGTTAATGTGGAACACCTGCAGTATGGCGGCCAAACGGCGTGACCGGTGTTCTACAGAAAATTGCACCCCAACCTCAATAGGGAAAAACTCACCTGTTTATAAAGTATCAATTTTAAATAGTTTAAATGGATTTGTAAAACACCAATATCGTGTGTTAACGCGGTTGACAACAACTTTCAATTTGTTAATGAACAATATAAATTGAATTAAAATTACAGTGCCACCAGCAGAGGTGGGAGCTTTTTTCGGTACAACACCTAGCGGTTCAAAAGCAGCTTAAAACGCCAACAAGCAGGGTGGACTTAGTAGACTCGTTTCATTCAAAGTAATAAACCTTTTTTTTAAAAAATAAATAAAAAATGACCAATTAGTTAAGCGCCGAATATCAAAAATGCAACAGGAAGCTTGTCCAGCAAGCGGCGGTGTTCAGCCGAACACCGACTGCTCCAACCGACGGATGTTAGCCACACAAGCTAACATGAATTACGCAGATTTTTGTCAAGTTTAACAAACTTAGGTAAGGCTCGGTTCAATCACTAAGCTGCAGGTGTTCAAGACAGCAAATGTACTAAACTTTATGAATATATTTATGTATATTAAAAATACATGATGCCAGCTTCCAGTCGGCCTTGCTAGCTTCCACCGACGTCTACATATTCTCAGTTGCGTACATTAGATTTTCGCCACAGTCGCCATTTTTTTCATCAGTTAGCACTCTAGCTTTATATCTTTGACAACTCTTACCTGGAGATGTTGTGTCGGGCGCCGCGGGTATTTAATGATGTTTCTGTAGGCATCAAACTTTTGGTCGAGCCGCAAATAGGGGCGGAGGCGGGAACACGGCCACCCTAAATAAACTAATCAGACCTTCGGCCAATCAGCGGACGCGTTACAGCCTCCCCACCACCGGGAAAATTAACTTTTAAATCCAATTAATTCGATACAGCCGCACATATAGCAGGGGTGACTCAGCGGGAATCAACGGAAATGCTTAACAAGGCAGGAAAACGCTGAAAACATGAGGTTTAAAGCTGTATAGCAAGCCGGTGTAGCATATATTAGTCAGACAGGACTTCCAATGCAGGCATTCACGATGTAATGGGTTTGAAGCTTCAGAAAACAAATGCAATGTTTTTGTGTAGAATATAAATAGTGGATTGTTAAAAAAAAAAAAAAGAAATCTTACTATAACAAAAAAATACATTTCAGACAATTTCAGCAATCCAACTTAAAGCAGATAAAATTGAAAAATAATCCAAAACCTGTACTATTTTAATTAACGACCCAAAATAACTAAGTAATATGTCATTAGGGATATCCATGCTTAAGAGAAATCTGGGATTGTATGCTTTGATACAATGGTGAAATTAGTTCTTTGCATTTAACGCATCACACGTGGGATACACCCAGGTGGAGCAGTGGGCAGTCATGTAAGCGCTCGGGGAGTATTAGGGATTGGATGTCTTGCTCAGAGACACCGCGGCGTGGGAATTGCTGGGAGTTGAACCGCAGCTTCCTGGTCCTAGGTCGGCTACCATACCTCTACCCCGTCTCGGCCCCTTTTGTAGTTGAATAAACTATAAGATTAGCCATTAAAATATAATTTGTCTATCAAAATAGTAGACGCCAATAAGCTGATGGGATACCGTTTAAATGTAAAACGCGTGAAATGAAGACGCGTGGTTTCCATGTGTGAAATGGGAGTTTCTCTATGTAAAAATTAAATTTCATATAATCGCCAATGTCTATTCTAAACCGGAGGAACGCACGTCTGGATATGTGGAGCCGAATGCCCAAAACGCACGACCGAAAATGAAACAAGTTCGAAGAATAGCATAAATAAATAAATCTGAATTAAACATCACATCTATTTTTTTAACCACAGGGAATAAGTGATTATTGGATATTTGCAATAGAGCCTTTAATTTTCGCACAACCGCCTCAGCCTTTTTAGATACCGTAGTTTGTCCAAATACAAATAAACACGCTGCATCCTCAAAATCTTATTTTTACTAGTCGAAAATCTTGTTTTAGAAAACCTTTGATTTAATTCTGACACATAGGAATGTAATTATGACAGTGATAAAGCCTATTAAATAACGTTAATCAAGTAGAGTCATGTGTTGATTATATGCTACAACGCTCTGCCACACATTCCCTTTGGGAGCTCAGGGGAAAGAAACAGATGATCTGGATCCTCATCTTTAAGTTAATGCACATTTAAAGCATGTCTGCTTGCACTTTAATATTCTCCAAAACTACATTTGCTTTTATGTTAGTTGTTTTTGCATTAAAATTAAAGGTGTTTTTGGTTCAAATGTCAAAAAAAAAAAAAGGTAGTATAGTCTTTGATGTGCTAATAAAATATAGATTATGTTTGTGCCTATTGCACAATCGCATGTTCGTGCAGAAAGATCCTCTGAAGCAGAACTTGAGCAAGTAGCACAACACACTTCTAGCCTAACCTATATATCATGTTCCTGTCAGAACCACACGCTCCCCAAGCATGGAGGCTATTTAACAGTTAAATGGTGTCAAATAAAGAAACTCACCACTAATGGTGATAAAACTGATAAAATACACATGTTTGATGACAGTTGTAATTGCTGTAAAAAAAAAAAAGTAAAATTGACAGATTTTGCAATTAGATGCAGTAAAAACAACAAATTATACAGCTATGATGCAATTAAAATTAGAGTACAGTTAAGTTGAAAGATGTTGCCCTGAACGCACCATGGTGACTTTCTCATTGCGTGCATGCAATAAGATGAGGCTGCAAGCATGATGTGTTCCCACAAGAAAAAAAGAATCTAATGAAAATTTAAATATCAGGCCATTATGTCGATGTAAAAAAGTGAATGTGTAGAAAAGATCTTACCGTTTCTATATATGAAAGTTAGGGACGTCCTGAGGGCAAAACAATCTCTGAATGAGCTCGTAAAAACGGGACGAATTCCACTTTTTTTTTTTTTTTTTTTTTTTTTTATTTTAAAAAAAAAAAAAAAAAAAAGCCAAAACACAAGATATAAAATGAAGAAATTAAATATTTATTAAATCAAAACACACACAAATGAGTTCCTTTCAGCAAATGCATGAAACCAAAAAGAAAAAAAGGTAACACAAAATAACCACACCAACAGAATGAAGAAAAGGAATCAAATAAATAATAATAATAAAAATAAAAAAAGCCCGGCTTCTGCCTGTCTGGCTCTTTACAGGTGCGCCACACAGATACGCGACATCACTGAGTGGAAACCAAAGCGCGGAAGAAGAGGAGGCGGTTGTCTATAAGAAACATAGTCCTGCCGCCGGAATATATAGGGCCGCGTCACAGCGCGCTCGTGTATCCGTCCGCGTGTCCCGCGTTTCATCCATTCAGCCTACACACGGACGCGGAAGTATACTACAGAGGCTTCATGCGCACTCGAGCTCTTCAACGCCATTGGCTGCTGAGAGCTCCTCGCGCCCGGTTCGCTCCGCCCTCCCGGATTACAACAGATTCGTCCTCGCATCAGTCACTCAAAGCGACCGAGTTGTTTTATTTTATTTTGTTGTATTAACCTAAATATAGCAAATTTGAAGTCAAATATCGGCCTGCTGAACCACGGACTTGCATTTAAAGCAGGTGTGAGAGCGTTGACGCCACATTTCAGCTTTAAAAAACGAGTCCGTGTTGATGTTGATTTTGATGCCCGTGTTGCGTTCAAGTGCCGTTAATCGCTCGTTTTTTTAATCAATTTAATGTTTTCACGAAGAAAGTAAAACTATTCGGTTACCCTCACTTTCCTTTCTTTGTATATACCTTTCTGCATTAACAGTACTCCAGTTCTCATCGTTTATCAGAACAAACAAAATGATAGATAAAAACTAAGCGTGATTCTGCTGCTTTCAGGACCACAGACAGCTCCGGAAAGTCTCACGGACTAAACTCCAGCAGTTCAAAAACAAAAAGGTGGGCGTTTCTTGGGGATCTCCCAAATCTTAGTTAAAATTACTACAATAAAACAACAAACACACGTTATTCCATGCACAAGTGTTAAACTAAGCTCATCTTACGTTGAAGAACGACAGAGTTAAAGCTGTTTTTGTCAAATCTTAAAAATAACCTTGTGTGCGATCTGTTTGGGATCAAAGCATGTGTTGTGAACGGGTGCCAGCTACGACCACACCAAATTTTAGCTCAGGATTTGTAAAATGTAATCAGTAAGAGCCATTTCTGTGTTTTCCAAGGTCACTTGGTTGTGGTAGCCATCTTCAATTGAGATGACTCCAAAAGTTAATCAGATGTAGATATAAACCCACTGATTACTTTCTGGGAGTTTCATTGAAATCTGCCTTGTGGTTAATTAGATATTTTGCTAACAGACAGACAGGGTTGACTGCAATAGTTAACAAGGACATTGTAAACCAAGATCAAGCGCAGTCTGTTAGTGCTTAAAGAAGGAGTTGAGGACAACTCTTAGCTGCTAACGGACGTGATTTTAGCTTAGCAGGAATAAAATCAGCTGTGCTAAATTCTTTGTTGTGTTTTCTAATTTCACTTGGTCTTGGTAGCCATCTTCAATTGAATTGACTCCAACGTTAAGAGTTGTAGATGTACATTCAGTGATTATTTTCTGAGAGTTTCATTAATATCAAATTATGTGGTTCATGGAATATTTTGCTAACAGACAGGGTTGGCGGCTGTTAACGGCAACAATTTAAATAAAGATCTCAAACAATCGGTTACCGCTCAGCATATTTGTTGGGAATTATAATATTACAAATATTACTTTAGTATTTGCAAAGCGGACCGAGTTGAAGCCACTTTTGTGTTTGTTATGCTAGATCAGCTGAGGCGGCCATCTTGGATCTTAAATTGATCAGTTGTAAATTTCTTCCTGAAAGTCTAATGTAAACCTATTCAGTGGTTCAAGAACTACTTTGCTAACAGATGGACACAGGCGAAAACAGTATCACTTGCCTTTTGGTGGCAGACTATACAATTTATGTTTTAAATAGCAGCAGGAAGCTTTAACAACATGTCAGAAAGAATTCAAAAGAGACAACAGCTTCTTAAAGTCACAGTGGGGGGCAAAATATGGTCCGAGGGCCAGAAGAGGAGCCCTTTGACATCTCAAACTGGCCGTTAACATCCTCAAATGCAAACAACTTGAAATCAGTTATAAAAATAAATTTAAATATATTTATATTATTTAATCTGCAGCGCTGTCTTTTTGTCTGTGAATATCTGTATCATTAACAAAACACCTTACAGATAAGGCTTCATTCAACCTGTATTTATGCAGGCTAGTCTCACGAGGACTCATTTACAAGAGGGACCTGTTCCAGACAGAACTTAATGGTTCTTAACCCTGGTCCCTGAGGAACACCATTCTGCATGTTTTAGATGTTCCTCTGCTCCAACGCACCCGATTTGAATGAAAGGCTTCTTCTGAACGCAAGAAAGTAATTAAACCACTGAATCAGGTGTGCTGGAGCAGAGAAACAACTAA